GCTACAAACTCAAGTTTAGAAAGATTTGACATTATTTAGAAAAAGAAAGTTCGTACCTCTGATGCTTTCAAAGTATTGCTCGAGATGGCAGAGTCTCGTGCTGATAACGTGTTATAAAATAAAGACTGTAAAGTAAAGACAAGTATAGAGAGAAACTGATATATTATTCAAACTTCAAACTTATGTACATAATGAACTGAATTCTCCTCTATTTATAGAAGAAAGGAAGCTGCTGTGTAAGCTGCTACTGCAAGCTGCTGTGTAAGCTGCTTGTAAGCTGCTGTGTAAGCTGCTTGTAAGCTGCTGCTCTAAACTGTTGTGCCAGATATAGATAATCTTCTATCATGGGTAATATTTATCCATAACGGAGTACCGAAAGGATAAGCTTCTTCAGGAGGCTTATTTCCAATAGAGTACTAAATAGATAAATATATTTATGACGGAGTCTCATATGGATAAACTTCTTCAGGAAGCTTATTTACAACGGAGTACTAAATGAACATCCATAATATAATATATTCATAACATATCATAGTTTATTCACTCATTCGAACACCTTAACTAAATCCAAATATATATAGTTTAGAACACTCTAGTAAGGATAATTAGACATAGTATATATAATACTTAATATTTGAAGTAATATTTTTTACTCCAAGAACATCGTCTATAAAGAGATATTAGGATAGATACAAAAACATAAGAAATCATGTTATATTCATAAATATATATATAAATACAAAAGTTATATAATTAACTTACATGAATTCTTAATAGTTGCAAATTCAGAAGATGCCCAATAACTTGCATTCAACTGTTTTTGCCAATATAACATTTATTTGCAATTTAAATAAATATTGTATTTATTTGGACGTCAATTATTATTGGACAAAATTTATTCTTATTCTTAATTTTATGCACTTTTATTAATAGACGAAAAAAATAGGTACAACGCACTTACATTAAAGCTAGTTATTTAAACCCAAAGTGAGTAAATTTACTCTCAAATTGGAGTTCTATCCGGGAAAATAAAATCCCTTTTTCCGTATTATCTCACCTTTATGGCCATAAACGTAAAAGGTGAAATATACTCTTCGTATGCGGCCAATATTCAAACCCAATTGCAAATTGCAATATATTCCCAATTCGGTAATCCACTGCATAAGAACATTTATATTCCCCTCTTTTCCTTTTTCATATTCCTTCCCCGTTAAGATAAACCAACACAAATAAAGAAACATAATTACACAAATCGTGAACACAAAAATATAATCAATTCCATTCTTAAAGGCGGCCAGATAAGGAGAAGAAAAAAAGTTTTTTGGGTTGAATTTTTCACTTTTCCATTGTTGAAATTGTCAAAAACATTTACAGAGGCTTTAGAGATGAAGATCACAGCGTTGATGGTGTTGAAATGCAATCCAGAAAGTTCGGATCCAGTGATCTTAGCGAACGCATCTGATGTGAGCCATTTCGGGTATTTTCAGAGATCCAGCGTTAAGGAATTCATCGTTTTCGTGGGTCGGACCGTCGCTAAACGCAATCCACCCGGCCAACGCCAATCCGTTCAGCACGAAGGTTTAGTTTTTTTAGAAACCCTTCCCGAATTTTGGTTTGATTTATTTGAATTTTTTAGTGAGTTTGTGTTATTTCGGCCTGGGGAATCTGCTATGTGTTTGATCTGATTTTGGGGAATTACAGATGCGTTATGGATTGATGAATTTTTGTTCCTAATTGGGTATTCCGTCCGTCCATCCCTATTTATGTGATGTTGTTTCCCAATTTATGTGATGCTGTTTCCCAATTTATGTGATGCTGTTTGGTTGGGCACATAATTTAAGAAAAAAAAGAAAAACTTCTGAAACCTGTGATGTAAAACAAGTTATAATATTTTTGTGGCATTAAATCATCTCCTTAAGATAAAAATAGTAAGTTTATATTTAATTTATTTCTTTATATAGAAAGCTATTAAGGGTATCGCATAAATTGGGATGGGGAGTAGTTGGTTTTGAGAAATTATGAGGCTCGTAGATCAATTTCGCTGTTTCTTTTGGTTGATTGTATAGATGGATGAGTAATGTTGCAAAGTTGCAGCTATTGGTCCTATAGTTGCTGATGATGCTTTGGTACTTGAATTAGTTGGGAATTTGATATTAGTCATGTTAATACGGTTACTTCTGGTCCTATGTGTTTTCGAGGAGTCTGTCCTATTAGAGATTCTTTTGCCAATAGAAACTATAAAAAACTTCTAGTACTACTTTTTATTTATATTTATATTTTTATTTATATTTTGTAAGATGTTGACCGGAGATGAATTTAAATGGGAACATGGTCAATGGGGATTCATATAGCCAATTTCAATTTGCTTGGGACTGAGGAGGAGTTGTTGTTTGGGAGATGGTTTTGATGGGCGGGTTTGGGGGTTTGCAAAAGTAGAAGGAAGAAGTAGGGAATAGCTTAGTTGGGAAAATAGTTTAGTGTGAACTGATTATCTTTTCGGTTAAATTTTTTGAGGTCTTCACACCCTTAACATCAGTTTTGTTAAGGGTTCTTGATATGTAGTATATGACAACTGGTCAGATTGGTTCCGTATCTCAGACACTGGCACAGAGTAGTAAAGTTGATTTTTATGTCATGTTGGATTAGTTCTAGGGTCTGTAAAGAAAAGATCCCCTTTTTATGATTATTTTATGTGATTATGGAGTGAAGTATGTGAGCGTTGAGGATGGAATGAAACGAGCGGCTGAGTGGATTTGGCAATCTTTAGCACATAAATTGCTCCTGGCTTTGTACCTAGATGTTACTTTCCAGATACTCTATTCATTTTCCTCTAAATATTTTGCTATTCAAAGTTTTTCGTTTCTTCTCTTTAAATTTCTGACATGTGTTGAGTTTTAGTGGTTGGCTATGGAACTGGTTAGTTAGAACTACAAGTCTTAGTCCACAGAAAACAGCAAATTCCTTCGTGTCTCCCTCAGCACCCTCCACAAAAGCTCCAAATGAGCGAAAATAAGATTAATTGTGATTCCAAGTTGTTTAGTCGTGCCAGTGGAAGCAGCGCCAACACTCAGCATGCTGATTACACATTTAACAAGGAAGGTTTCAGTGATCATTCACTTTAGCATGGTTGGGTTTCATGAATAAGTTTTTTGTTTGGATTAGGTATTCTAAAATTCACTTTTGCTATATGTTAGGATTTCAAACTGTAGGTTTCTGTTGATTTCTAATGAAATGGTTGATTATATATTGATTTGAGGTTTTTTATTTCTCAAAATTTACCTGAAGTACAAGTGGTCTTATTATGTATTTCTAAAACAATAGTGTGATTAGTATTACAAAATACTGATTAATCTATCACTTTACATGCGATAGATTTTGTGATAGTGTTTGTTTTCCTTTACCTTATATTATAAGCTTCAAGAAGTTCTCATAGAAGTTGATTGATATAATACAATCTGATATATAAATGTATTTTCTCTTTTCTGTCATTGCGTATTTTAAGAAGTTATATTGTCAAATCAATTAGAAGTCAATACATGTAAAATGTTATTCGTTTAATTTATAATTGAGAAAACATAAATCTACTGATACATGGTATATTCCTCAAATATATTTTTCCACTCGCACTTGGTTTGACATATGTTTTTAATCTCTTTTTTTGACTTTAGAATACAAGGTACATTCATACAATCGAAATGGTTTATGTGCTTTGGGTTTCATGGATGATCACTATCCAGTTCGAAGTGCATTTTCACTGCTCAACCAGGTATTTGTTTTCTATTTTAGATATTCAGCTTCGAAAGGAGAAACACTATATATCCAGAAATCAAATTGTGGATCTGCATCTAATTCTTTCCAGGTTCTAGATGAATATCTAAAGAGTTTTGGTGAGTCGTGGAAAACTGCGCAAAGCGACAATGCTCAACCATGGCCTTATCTGAATGAAGCTCTAGCCAAATTTCAGGTATCCCTTTTGTTTCCCGTTGCTGATTGATGATGGAATTTCCTTTTCAATCAAATTCTTCCTACCTTCATTTTAAAACATTTGATGCTTGAGCTGAAGCCCTGTCATGTTACCCCTACAGGATCCTGCTGAGGCTGATAAGCTGTTCAAAATTCAGAGAGAGTTGGATGAAACAAAAATTATTCTCGTAAGTATTAATAATCAAAAAGTTAAAAAAAATTATTGTCGTAAGTATTGTGTTATTCATATGATTGCCTGCTTAATGTTATCTTTGCGAGCTTCTCTATTGAAAGGTGATAGTAAGCAGTATGCATTTGGATAATGAACATTTGATCATGAGGACTGAGTTGTGGAAGACCTGGACACAATATAGATTCTCCATTTCTTTGGTTAATGATCTTTATCCCGTAATGGTTATATAAGGACGTGTAACTCATAGCCATTGCTAGCCATTTTCCTGTAGAGCTTCTGCTGTTGTGCATTAAGTTACCAAAAAAGTTATTAGTTTTTATTGCTTTTGAGAAGTCGTGATTGTCTATATGCTTAATTTCTCGTTCTTCCTTTGAATTTTTTTTGGCTTGTGTCCTGCATTGGTCGAGGGAATGGGTTGTGTCTTTTATATGGTTTTGGACAGTCTTCACACATGAGCTAGCTCTTAAGATTGACTTATTCCCAGAGTCGTCAAAGGCGCGCTTAAAGCGCGCTTAAGCCTTGAAGCGAGGCTCAAAACATGTTGAGCGCGTCGCCTCACTTTGTGGGCGCTTTAGTGTCGCATCAAGGCTCTAAGGCATACTTTTCCTTGCCAATGAGTGTAATCTTGAAAAGGCGGCATTAAACAATTGATATTTCGCTTTATCGTAAATTTCTTTCAATTTTTTTGTCCATATGTTTGTTATTCATGCCTATAATTATTAGTCATGGACTACATATACATATTTTTACTTTTTCTCTAGTTGCACCTTTTTCATTAAAGCCCACGCTTTAGTTGCGCTTTGCGCTTAAAGCCCCAACGGACCTTAGAGCTTTTTTGCGCTTTTCGCTTTTGATAACACTGCTTATGCCGAAGGTCCATTTTCGTAACATGGTATAAGTTGGACCATGTCTCTTGGAAACATCCTCTCTACCTGCACAACGTAGGGGTAAAGTCTGTGTATACACTACTTTCCCCAGACCCCACATGTGGGAATATACTGAGTATGTTGTTGTTGTTGGTGGTGGTATAAGTTGGACCATCTTGTTGTTGTGTCGTCCCTCATTTTATTCATTAACACTCCATATGTCCAATCTGGGTATGCTGGACTGTGGGCGGGCCTGTTAGAGTATCCACATTGGTTGAGATAATGGTTTGTAGTCTCTTTATGTCATTTTGGGCAACCCGTCTCATAAACTAGCTTTTGGGATTAAGTGAGGTGCCGGGTCCATTTTTCTTAACACACACAAGAGTTTGGCTTTGTATGCTTCATTCTCATGCTCTCTCTCATTATATTTTGACGGGACTCAAGACTTATGTATCCCAAATTTATCATAGAGCCTGCTTTTGGAGCACTAGACTATTTTCATACTGTATATTGTACTTTAAAAATCGTTATCGTGTTCAAATGGTTGTAAAGGCATTCATGCTGAGTACTCATTTCTGGTCCATGACTCTATGATTATTTCTTCTGTTTATAATATGGAAAAATGTGCATTCTCAAAAAAGAAAAGGAATAAATGTGATATTGAACTCTTGAATTTCCTTTTCACCCGGTTACTTTTGAGATGAGGTCACCTACTTCACTATAGCCTAGTGCTAGGATGTTTAGTAACAGTCTATTAGAGAATAAAGTAGGTGGAGTTTTTTCTCCAAGTTCTTTACCAACACGCGTGTTTGATTAGGGTGGAAAGAGAAAGAACAGAAGCGATTTGAGCTATGGGTTATTTCTATTGTTTTGTACTTTGGTGAGGATGTAGTAGATTGGAGAAGTAAACGTGGTGGTTGCTTCTCTGTCTACTTCTTCGCCCCTTCCAACTTGGACAAAAAGAAGGGAAGCATATCCTTTGTGGTTACATTTCAACCTTGCCAAACATTAGAGGTAAATCATGAATTCCCCCTCCTTAGGGAAGTAAATAAATGATTTCTTTCATCTTTATCATTCCTATCCCATTTGGGAACCAATCATACTGATAGTGATGGTGAATGATTAATAGAGAGGGAGTTCCAGGGAAGTTCTGTCCCCTGGAAAAGGAAAAGAAATAGAGAAAGCCTAGGTCAAGGCAGAAAGTTTAAGTCTGACTTCCCTCGTAGTTGGGGCTAGGGGTTAAGCGTCCGATTCGACAATGAACACTAAGTGGAAGAGGCAAATCAATTTTCTCCCACCAACTAAGAATCTTGCATAAAAAGCATCTATGCAAGTACGATTTTATGACCAATCATATATGCCATTTAGAATTTTGTCCCACAGAATTCTGTTAGGGCCCTTTTTTAACAAAAGAATTAATTAACTCAAAATTTAGCTCAAGGAAGAATATCTTAAGGATGTTATCGATGCTGTAGGCTATCAGTGAAAGTTGATCTCACATTTTGTTTTCGACTGCTTAGAATTAACCAAATATGTTGCTGTTTTTTGGTGGGTGTGTATCTACCTTCTTAAATTTGGTCTTCATCACCTATATCGCGGAGCAGACTATCTAGAGTCAGTATATACCTTTATTTTCTCCTATTTGTCTCTAATGTTTTCTGGAGAGCAAGAAAGTATGTTTCTCTTTTCTTCTTTTTATTTGCGTGTTGTGTTTTTTTTGGGGTGGTGGTGGTGGTTATAATGGCATCAAAATTGGCATAAGCATAAAAAACTCAAAACCCATACAGCTATTTAGGATTCCTTTTTCTTTCGGGTTCCTAAAATATATGGAATGTCATTCTGAGTATGGGTTTCTACTTTTTATTGATAAGCTCTCCAAGTTATTTCCACTTTGTCCCTCTTGTAGGCCATGGTTGTTTCTTTGAATAATATCTGGTTTGAAGTTTCTGGGCATTTTAACCAAGCTATTTAAACATATATATGGACATACTGAAACCTAAATCAAATGCTGTTGAGTAGAAATTAGGAAAATGGATCTTATTCTTCCATTGCACGGTCAGTGCGGTAGCTAAATATTTGTTTTGAAGTAACGTATTTTGAGACGCTAGTTATTCTGTTTATTTTGGATTTGCTTTCAAAATGCACCTGCATTATGTATTAAACTATTAATGCATGGAAATACTCTGCTCTGCTTTTTTTTGTTTCTGTTAGCTCTACTGATGTTGGTCTTCTTTACCTTTGGACACAGCATAAGACAATTGACAGCGTCTTAGAACGGGGTGAGAAGCTCGACAGTTTGGTTGAGAAGAGTTCAGATCTCAGTGCTGCTTCACAGGTACTTTTGTGACAGTGCATCTGTTTTAGTTTTGTTTCCTTCCTTTTTGATAAGGTAAATAATTTTTTGTGGGAAAACTTCACCTATATCTGTTAGAGGATTGCTCTTCCATTTATCTGGTAAACCTACATTTATCTCTTCCCAACCTCTCCACCTAGTAGTCAACAGTAGCCCTTCCCCACTTTGTTCCCAGGGTGAGCCGAACCCTCAACCTTAAGGTTGGAAGTGGAGTAAGGCTTAGTTCTTCATAATTCCATATTGTGCTTTCCATTTGAGCAACCCTCTCTTATCAAAGGATTTTCTCTTCCTTGTTTCTTTGTGAGTAATTAATCATTTGACTTCTACTGTTTTATCAATTTATTTTTGACAAATCAAATTGTCTTCACTGTTGTGTGGATGATACTCTAATTTTTGACCAAGTGTTATTGGGTCACTTCAACTAAAAAAGATGCAAGTTGCTTGTTAAGTTCAATATTGAGGTAAAAAGAAATTATTGAGTTGCACAGGAAAGGTTATTTGCAATTAATTTAGGGGGAGTATTTGACTAAGTCACATTCTCTACAAGCATGGTGGACATGGCTATGGTACTCAAATTTTGCAGGCTTTATGTGAAGAAATAACCAAGGTTTAGATAGATGAGAAGAAATAACCTGCTATTTTTGTCTCCATGGGGATCTCCCATCCCTTTAGGCATTGGAAATTACTCTCTTTCCCGAACATACAGCAGGCTAACTTAGTGCTAACTTGAGTCATTGGAATGAAATCTAAAAACTAACTGATTTCCCCTGCATCCGAAGGTAGACAGCCTCCACTACTGTATTCCACTGTGCGAAAAAGGGACTCCTTCGGGCATTAGCTTCTTTTCTTTCCTGTCCTTACTATTGCTGCCCCTCTCTTTCTCCCCCCCCTCTTTTTGGTTCTTATTTTTCTTTTCCTTTTCGTTGTTAGTTTTGCCCGAGTAGATTGAACGCCTGGACTTTGTTATAGACTTGTAGTTGAGCTGCTTTTATTTTAGTTGTTGGCTAAAGAAGTTGGAGGAACTTGATGTATGTGAAAGGTGAGGAATGACATGGATAGAGAAGGGCCATTGATCTGCAAGAAAATTTGCATGCATTTAATATGAATTAATCTTGGCCAGTATAATCAGGAGTTTGTTGCTTACAAGAATAACCAGTGTTACTGGGTCTCTTTGTTAATTTGCTTTTGGGATGTCTTTTGGGATGAATTCAGCATATTGAAGGCGAATGCATGCCTACTTCCAAAAGGAAGGGTTAAGGTTTGCGTACGCACTAGCCTCCCAGTGGTGAAGCTAGGAATTTCCTCAAGGGTATTCAAATTTAAAAGAAGTGAAAAAAATTCCCGACAAAGGGTGTTCGATACGTGTTATATACCTTTAAAAATAATATTTTACCTATGTACACAGTATAATTTTTCGACGAAGGGTGGTCAATTCCCTTATGACCATGTGGCTTCGCCACTGTAGCCTCCCCATACCCTACTTGTGGGATTACACTGGCTATGTTGTTGCTATTGAAGGCGAATGCATGTGATGGAACCGACAATATTCAAATGTGGAATATGGAACTGAGCAACAAGCTCTGTTGTATTATCACACAAGATACCCGCACTACCCATCTGCTGGCCTGCAGATCAAAGATATCTTCCTGTCAGCTTCCACGTGTCAAAACATCATAGAATCACGCTCTGTTATATGTCTTGGGAGATTTTTGGAAGCATTGAAAGACACATTCAGCTAAAAATATTGTCTTTTTTTGGGTTTGGGTGGGAGGCTGCTTAATGAAATTAACATGGTGATTGCTATTTCTTGACGTGCTCATCGACAGGGAAAGTAAACGTCTGAAATAGCTGTCTTCTTATACATGAACAGTGTTCGTTTGAATCTCTTTGCTCCGGTGAACCAATATTTTTTGGTGATATCATGGATCGCCCCAATTAGAAACAAGATGTGCTTGTTTGTTAATGCTGATAGCTATTTGTTATTGTTACTCTTGCTAATGGTAATATTGTAGAAGCCTGTTGTTTTTAAAAAAAATAGGTTTGTAGAAGCTGTAGAATCTTACAGATCAACTTTAAACCTTCATTAGGTCCAACTTATTTTCTGACCTAAAATTGGTGGTTTTCAAACAGATGTTCTACAAGCAGGCGAAGAAAACCAATTCATGCTGTACGATCTTATAGATGATTTCAGAAGAAAGGGGGCTATTCTATCACGGACAAACTCATGTTTACGTTATATATGAAGTATCGGAAAATTGCTTGTTTATACCATCTATGATTTCTGTTAGCTCGAATTCTTTTGGTTCTCTGCTGTAATATGATCTCAGATGAAGAGAAAGGTTTCAGTCTCAGATTGATAAAGTTGTTTGAAAGTTGTGATGTCACCTAAATATAGTTATGTGATAAGTTTCCTGATGGTTACTGGCTTCCTCTTACCTGTAACTATCTCTTGATATATGCCGACTCTGAATACTTTAGTAGTACCTAAATTTATATATTACTAGTCATTGGCTATGAGCAATGCAGGTATTTTCTATGTCGCTCGTCGCATTATTTGTATTCAAAATAGTAGGCTCCAAGTATATATATACCAAAAGCATTTATTTGAGTGATGTGGCAGAGATAGAGGTTTACTAAAATTTACCAGAGTTGGAATATGTTGTGAACGTGATGCTATTTTAATGATGTACTTCTGTTCACAATTCATATGATTGAATAGTGTAAGATTTTGCAGTAACAAAGAATGTTCTTAGTATGATAGTTTTTTTTATTATCTATCAAAAGATACCGTTTCTTTTATTAATTTCACAGAGATGCAACTTGAGCTGACTATCAAAAATTTCATACTATAGAAGGTAGAAGGTGTAACTTATCATATATATTCTGCAAAAGTAATCCATTTGTTCTGTTAAAACCAACAGGGTGTAATGCTAAATGTCAATTGATAAGCCAGCATATAAAGCAAAAGAAATGTGATAGGAATATGATTCAACTGAGCATACAATTAGCAAAGGCGAATCTACCAGCTATGTCCATTTATAAGTAGCTTGTTATAAAAATTGGCCAATTCATAAAATATTATCATTATTAGCCAATTAGATATTTGTAACCAAAAAATATTAAATTTTTGCTTTTTTTTTGAGTAGGCGTTATTAGAATAGATTCGGTACATCTTAATGAGTTTGAATTTTAGTTTTGGGATGATTTGGTGGAGTTTTGAGGTGGTTTGAATTGAAAATCCGAAGTAGAAGATGAACATGAAAAAAAGTATATATGTTTATCATACTGTGTATCATTTGTGTATCACATATATATCATATTTGTATAAGATGTGTATCACATGTATATCCATGTATATCTGTGTGTGCGATACATGTTTGATAAATGTGTTGCAGAAGAATTTTTTTGAACTCGATTTTAACTACGAATTTTGATACCAAATCAGTCCAAATCACCTCCAATCTCTCTCAAATTTTGTATATTGACTCATCTATAACCATTGAAAAAAGTCCCCTTTTGCTTAGATTTTTGGAATCTTGTATATATAGATATGTGTGTGTGTGTGTATATATATATTATCACCTTGTTTGCTACCTCATCCATGATTTTTTTTTTCCGTCTTGCATCTAATGTTGCTGATCACGCTTAAAAATATAAAAGAAGATCTTTGCGTGTGATTCTTGAATAGAAATAACCTTATTTATTTGGGTTTTTAATTTTTATATGTGCTTGACTAGTTTTGGTAAGTTTATGATTAATGACTAGAGATTATAATAAGTTAGGACTTATTTGGGACATTTATGTAAAACAAAATGGATCTAGCGTCATTTAACTTTAAAAGTCCAGGTCTGGGGAACAATTAATACTTCTGTCTATTATTATAGAATGTGATGCCAATAATGCAAAGAGTCAAAAAAGTGACAAACATTAGATAATATTTATATAATCGATCTTAATTAGCTTGAGATTGAAGTGCATTTGATTGATTTGGTTCTACTTCCCAAATGCAACTTTTCAAGCATAATATGATTGCATGAACACTCCATCTCATATTAAAAGTAATTTTTGCAACTTTAACCATTTCTAACTTTGTAGATTAATATGAAAAAAATTATAAATATTAAGTTGTGAACTTATATCTTGAAAGAACTTATTAAGTTTAAATCTTATATTCGCTTACGTATTGGAGTTATTCTTTAACTCTTACCTTTAATTTCACATATTGAAGAATTTTATGTTATCCATCTTTGGATCTTGTGCATTCATAATGTGTTATTTAGAATTATACAAATTGATGGTTCAAGACTTTTTGTGAAAGAGACGAATATAAAATTTAACCTTTATAAATTCAAATTTCAAGAATTTTAGCATTGAATTAATTATATTTTTAAAAAGTACCGACTTCAATTAAATTCGATGTCACGACACTTCACTCGCCTCGTCTAAAATATGACAAGAAAACGGTGTGAAAGCTTGCAGCCAAGGTTGTCTGTACTCGAGAAACTTCATGCCAAAAGAAAGGAACAATTAAGATTCAACATTTCACACATCAAATACAAACCGCACACTACTCTTTTTATAACACAACGTTTCATTGTTTATATTGTAGATTTTTGCCATATTTAAAGATGAAACGGTACGTCCCATCGGTGGGAATAAATTTACAAAATAATTAAAAGAAAACAGTTATCCATCCATATTATCCATTAAAAAATGAGTTGGATAATTAACTTTTTAAAAACGGTTCGAATATGGATAAGAACCATATTATCCCCTTAGAAATTGGATAACCAATGGATAATTAATGAGTTTAAATTTTACATTTGTAAAGCCTCCAATTAGGGGTTCCTCAAGTTTGAGAGACTATAAATTCTCCCAAAATTGATCATATTCAAGAAGTCATCCATATTATCCGCCGAATAACCCGTTTTTTGTCCGCCTCAAATACGGGTCGGATAATTTATCTATTTTTTTTAAAATTATCCGTTTTTGACCCGCTCATATACGACCCGAACCGCCCGTTTGCCCCTAAGTGGGAACAATGCTAAGTTGCTACCATAAATCAGTATCCAAAAGAGGGACCACTGCCTTATCCTTGGTTCCTAAGTTACGAGCAGACGCAGCTCAATATATATATATATATATATATATAAAGAGAGAGCTAACTCATTTAATCTTCTTCTTCTTGGAATTTATTATCATCTAGCTCAACTAGATTAATGGCTTGTTCATCTAAAAAAACACTTCCCTCTATTTTCTAATTTAGTTTTTTTATTGTTTACGAAAAATTTATCAAGAGCTCCTTTTTGAGATTGTTTTAAATTTAAACTCTTCTCTTTTTCTTTTGGGATAATAAGATTTATATTTTTTGTTGACATATTTAAATTCTGAGAAATATTTTAAAAATATATCTATAAAGTAAAAATAACAAAAATAAGATAAAAAGATACTAGAAAGTTAGAAAGAAAGAACCCGATTTAAAAAGTTTGAAGACTCAATTCCAAATTTTGTATTGCTGCTTCAAATATTTCCTGCAAGTTTTAAATGTGAGAAAGAACAGAAAATGAGACACAATATATTGTAACGAAAGTAACTATATATGTTCTTATAGAAGCAATAGAAATTATCGAAAGTTTTGAACACCGAAGAGTTGATCTTTATAAAAAGTATGAATATAAGACAATACGTATATTAATGGAAAAGGTTAAATGAAAGATTGTGACTCTTGTATAAAGTAAGAAAGAGAGTGTAAAGTTATGGAGTAACATGTTTCCTAAAAAAATAAAAAGTGAAATAATAATTTTCCTTATCAAATCGATTCATCATTAGTATGTAACTGATTTATTGAGTTATTCGTATTTCCTTATTTTTTTAGTCAAACGATCACTTATTCACAAAGCTAAAATGTTGGCTTTCCTTTTATATTAATTTTTTTTCTGAATAGTACTTAATATTTTTCAAAAAAAAAAGATACAAGCTTATTATTTCTCGAAAATGAGCTCCCCAAATTTTGGGGCCCAAAGCAACAACTTTTGTTGCTTCATGGTTAAGCCGACACCGGTTACTAGTTACTACGATATTGCACCCTTTATGAAAATGATTGGTTGGATTTGCATGCACCTACATGCATAGTCGACGCCAGAATTTTGAGCTATGCGCTCTAAATTATAGAAAAGCTTATTAGGTTATACATAAATTATTATGTTTTAATATAAATATAAAATTTGAGTTAAAATTACTGGATTTTACTGAACACATAAGTTGAAAACTAGCTCTTCCCCTGTCTATACAGAAATCTCCACAACTAAAGCTTCAAGACTATTGTTCATTAGGTCGTTTCTGATGCGCCCATAAAATTTTAGGCGATTTGGAGTATGTCATCCGAATTCATGAATATGGTGTGGATATTAGCACACGAAAAATTAAAAATAGTCCTGAATTCCTGTTTTATGGCCCTAAAATACCAAAAAGCGATGGACGGTCACGACAAAGCGATGACTATTGTTCATTAGGTCATTTCTGATGAGCTCACAAAATATTAAGCAATTCGGAGCCTGCCTCCCCAATTCTTGAAAATGGCGTGGACATTAGCAAAGAAAAAATTAGAAATTATCTTGAATTCCTATTTTAAACTATACCTGTTTAACGGGTCGGGTTGACCCGTTTTCGGACCGGCCAAGATCGGTTATAGCCCGGACCGGTAGTTAGGGGCCCGGGTGGGCTGGGTTGGGGGGGTTAAATAGTCCTTTTTGGGCAATATTTTTTAAAAAATAACACTTTTAGTAATTACTAATTTAGCTCTTTGAAAAATTATAAATACACCCCCCCTTTTTATTTCTTCACTCATCTCTCATTTCTCAAACTCATATTCTCAATTATCATTCTCTCATTCTTCACCTAAAGTGCAATCAACTATTTGACTCTCATTTATTTTGGAATTTAATTTATCGTATTATTTATTATTTGAAGTTTGAACAATTGAACTTCAAACTTTGAACAATTGATGTTTCTTCGTGGTAACATTGGAGTTGCGAAATCATCAAGTGTTCAATTTATTACCGAATTCGGTGCACTCCCTCCAACTCTTTCTCTTATTTACTATTTTATTTGCATATTTAATTTTTGCTAGTAGTTAAATTTTAACAATATGTTTAATGCTGCAAAAAGAGTTTGTAATAAGGTTGCTAATTGGGGTAATCAGAGAAATAGTAAAAGAGGTACTACTTCAACATCTGATAGTAATTTAAATGACTCTACACATGTTTCTGAAACATTATCTGATAATAATATAGATTATGAACAATTACAGGAAGATTTCGGTATAGAAGATAATGAATTAGAAATTGAAGATGAGACACCACTTACACCTAGTAGTGTTGGAGTTGGTAGCAGGGGTGGTGGTCATTGTGCTAGTAGTAGACCACCTGTGGCCCCGACTACTAATCGGAGAAAAAGAAGTAAGGTTTGGAATTTTTTTGACGAAATAGAGAATAGTGATAGAGTTAGATGCAGACTTTGTAA